TTAAAGTTGTGCTAAATATTATTATTATTATTATTATTATTACTACTACTATTTCTATATCCTGTTTTTCTTTGCTCAGTAAAAATATAAATTACTATTAGATATATTTTATTGATAGTACCACCGATATAGTAATAAACGGCCAAATCTTTATAATTAGAATAAAAACGTGAAATTTCTTTGATAGTATTCATAATTATATTATGCAACCATCATGTAAATTTGAGATGTTAATGTGGTGTCAATTTCAAGCAAAAAAGATGAGGACTTGTTTTAAATAACTGATGTTCTAACTTCCCACAAAGTTAGGTGTACTCATACAAAGGAAAACAGTAAACGAAGACCTCAGAATATCCGTAAAGCAATATCCACCACTAAAATAAGTAAACTTTATTTGTTTATCATGTATGAAAATTTTAATAGAAAATATTTGATTTTTGGTCATTAATTTCCCACGCATTCTATTCTATGCAAGATCCAAATCTTCTATTTTAATATTTATTATTAATAGTAAGTAAACCTGATTTTAGTTAATTATTAATAACCAACAGTGTCACAGGAGACGGAGCAAAAATTTCAAAAGTTTCCAAGCAAACTTAATTTTAGTTTAAAATTGAAATGAAATATCTTTTAAAAACTAATCTTTCAGCTTATTTTGTTTAGAGCACAATAATATAGTTTCTCTTTTTGTTGCCATATTTCACAAAAAGAACTTTCTCAAAAGATTTTGAAAAACAAATATTAGACAAGAAATATTTACGCAACATTTTATCTAACTACTACTGAGTTGAAATTGTTTTTCATTTATTTTATCCCCTGTCAATTAGTAGATTTTTTAATCAGTATCTTAAACTTTCTGTATTTTTAGTGTTAAAACAATAAAATACGGTTAAGAAATGTTTCACAAACGAAGTTATTTGTCAACCATATTTATAATCTATAAATAAATAAAATTTGTCGAATTTGTATAATGTGTTAATGTTTTTTATTTAAACATTCCCTTTAGTTGATTATGATAAAACTTTGTGATCAATGGATCTGTACAATGGGCTATGATAAGTTTTTAGCCACCCTTGATTACAGCAATTTTGACTTGTTTAATAACGTCCTTTGAAAGTCATCTGAAACCGTTGTCATAGCGTGAAAGATGTCGCCAACAGCATGGAAATGTCGCCATATGCGGTGAGAAGGAGTCTGAAAGAACTAGGCTATCAAAGAAGAGTTGCAAGAAAGAAGTCCTTGATTTCAAAGGTTAACAGGAAACTTCGTATGGACTGGGCGAGAGAATTCGAGAGCAAAGATTATGAATTTTGGCAGTCTGTAATTTGGTCAGATGAAAGTAAATTCTGCCTATATTCGAATTCGAGATAGGTTTATGTTTGGAGAAATCAGAATGAGACTTGGAACACTGAATGTCTGCAGGCGGCCGTGAAATATGGAGGGATTGGAGTAATGGGGTGGGGCGCTCTCTGGTTTGGAGCAAAATCTGAGCTGATTCTTGTTGACGAGTGAATGAATGGTCCAAAATACTGTCAAATATTAGAGTGAGGACTGCTCCCACTATTTGAAACCAATCAGAGTGACAAGGACGTCTACCTTTTTCAAGAAAATGGAGCGCCATGTCATACGAGCAAAGTAGCAAAGGCCTGGAAGGAATCACAAGGAATCAAGTCACTGCTCAAAATTCTGACATTAATCCAATAGAACACGTTTGGGAGCACCTTGACCGAAGACTTCGAGAGCGTGCAACCAAAATCACGTCAGTGGCAACCCTTAAAGAAGCATTACTAAAGGAGTGGCAAAATATGGATCAGACGATTGTTGATAACTGGATTAAATCCATGAAAAATCGAATACAAGCACTGAAACTAGTAAATGGAGGACCTACTACATACTAGTTCCAAATACTTTTTGTTTATGTTGAAATAGGATTACGTAATTAAATTTTGAAATTCGATGTAGTTTATTTATCCTGGCTTTTCTTAGGTCACCGTACAAAAGAAAATAAAGTATACTTTGCGATTTTGTTTGGGATGGGGGACGTCAGTCACAATCTTCTCCCCGGGTGCTACTAGACCTATGCACACGACTGGTCTCTAGTGAATATTTATGCACATAATACAACAGTGTATGGGTGCCCCTCCAAAAATCTAGATGACCAGAGTCTGGCAACTGATCTCTCTACTGCTCAAAGGGGAGAAATTTGGCTTGTAACATTATTAGTACCTCTCCAACCAAACAGATAACGTACCGTCATCACCGAGAAAGACCTGAATTTTCACTTATTATGATGAATGGTTGTTCTCTCAATGAGGCCCTTTTCCTTGAGTGCCTACTGGAACTTAAGATCACCTCATACCCCAAGTGGAACTTATATATATATATATATATATATATATATATATATATATATATATATATATATATACAACCTATCGCTAAAGATGCTGGATAAATGATCGGCTCCTTGTAACGCTACATTTTACTATCCTCTAGCTTTACAATAGCCAGATCAGACTAAAATGGAGTACAGTTGACAAATCCGGACATGGGCTACCCAGTTCTCACTTTCCTGTCTCGATAAAGGGTATTAGGGTGATTCGCTATAGCGTACGCGACATGGCTCGTCTTAACTGTGAGTAAAACCAAAATGGCAGATCCCGATGAGAACATGTAGAACTAGAGAATATAATTCGTAAGAACATTTTCTGTGAAAATAGCGATCGAGTGACGAGAGGTTTGTAATGTTTCGTCTGTGAAGAAGAGGTTGCAGTTTGGAGAACGTATATATACGTCAGATACAAGCAATTTAAGTTTCGCAAAGACGTATACAACAACGGAGGTTTTAAGCCGAGATATCAAAGATAGTATCATGGGTCTTTATCTATAACTACAGAATGAACTCTTCCTAACACTATGTATACTACGTCTCTCAAGAGAGAGGGTCGAATCGAACCGAGCTTCTCGACTTGACAATCGAACTCTCTGCTTTTGAGCGGAGGGGAACCCGGACGAGGTTCCGCCGAAGGGAAGAGTCTCGTTCGGGGAGAAATGACCAACCCGATCTCGTTTATACGGGTTATACGGGCATTTTTTGGCTGAGCCTACGGGCTCGGAAAACCCACGATGAACTCGGCCTTGTGCCACATGCAACCCTCGTGGAGGGGTGGCTAGATACCGAATCGAGTCGAGCCGATAGTAGTTCACTCCAAACCAGACTGACAGTCATACTAACACCTTCCACATCTTTTATTATTATTTCGTGTAATATACCTTCGTTATTTCTACTCTTGTGTTCGTGTTGTTCTTCCTTGGTCCTAACCTGGAATATAACAGATAGATTAAGCTGTGACTGTTTTTTTTTTGTTTTTTGTTTTTTTTTGTTTTTTTTTGTTTTTTTTTTTACTTTATTTTGTTACTTTATGGTAATGCTTAGTCCGCGGTTACATACCACAACCGTTCAGTGGTTTGGTATCAAGAAATTGAATTTCTAGGACATTTAAATTCATATCTTGTACTTTTAGGAGGCTGTCTAACATGAACGGCGCCTTACCGATTAACCTACAATAGCTACTCAGTGGGTATTACTCACATTTAGTCATATTATCCGAATTACTTCACGCCACATTGCCTGTTTACATCTAATGGGTGATGTAATAGTCTTAATTTTTCTAAATTTCTTTGACGAAACATTGTCAATATTAATTTTTATCTAGTTTTTCTTTCTTTTTTTCTTTCTTTTTATTTACGCTCTACTACCGTTGCTTAAGCAACGTGCTTTCTTTGAAAAAGAAAGTGTTGTGGTAGGATCCACCTAATTTGCATAGTGGAGTACCGACCATATAAATATGGTTGGTACCGGGAAGACGAGGGGAGGAATCAAGAGATTCAATCCAGAGACTCTGCCCGACTGCGACTAAGTCAACACATTCCAGGAACGGTCTTCCCAAGAATATACAAAAGACTATATGTAAATATTGTGTACACTTTCTTGTTTCAAGAACATTTTGTTCTAAGTACATTTTGTGTTGTATTATTATTCCATGCATTAATCAAGTTTCAACAGAAAGCAAGCGAAATGAGAGAAACTAGCCAGAAAATAATAATGGCAATATTTCATGTAAGCATTTCGGACGAAGTGTTTCCTCGACTAAGATCGGCAAATCTTGGAAGCGTTCGTTGAAATTCTATAAAAAAATGCTATTTCTTTCTGTTGCCTAGGCAAAACTGAAATGCAGTTTTCTAATAAATTATCTATTACACTTATCAATCTCTTAGGATACACCTGCTGTATCTCCTGCAGAGGGATAATACTACACCAGCAAAAATATTTCGTGTAGATACATGCAGACTCAGATATATCTTTTTGACTCAAGTATAAATCAGAACTATGCTTACCGTTTTGACTCGAGTATAACCCTTTACCAATTTCTAGCTTTTTGACTCAAGTATAAATCGGATCTATGCCCCCCTTTTTGATTCAAGCGTAAACTGAACTTATGCGTTCTTTTTTTACTCGACTGTAAACTGGTATTATCTCTGACGATCTAACAATGCTTGTTGATGTATGCTCTATAAAACTAATAATTGACATTAATTAACTCCAAAGTGTTGAAATACTGTTAAATTAACTAACTCAAATGGAACTTTAAATAAATGATCTTCCTCTCATCTGAAAAATAAGAGAATTTCCTTTAAAGATACGGGTTCATTTTCAATTTATTGTGTCGGAACAAAAGTTCGCATCCTTTTTAAGCGAATTTCAAAGACAACATTTACACACATATTCATTCGACCACAAATGTACTATTTTTGCTTCGTTACCTTTCATCATTTTTGAGGCAGCTTCATAATTCCATCTTCCCAGAGTATCTAAATGGTTTTTAGATGTTTCCAGAGAATTTAAGCTATTCCCTTTAAGAGAATTTTTAAGGATCGAACTCGGCTCTCTGATTAACAATTCACAGCAATTATCCATTGCACCACCTACGCACCGAAACTTACAGCACTTGGTATTCCCAAGCGGTCGCCCATGTAAGTACTGACCAGGCTCAATTTTGCTTAACATCGGAGATGGATCGAAAGAAATGGTAAACCGAATTTGAAAAGTCAGGTGAGTACGGAGAGTGGAGTAAGACATTTCTGACGGGTCTGCAAAGAGATGTGAGTCCTGGCGTTTTCTTTATGGAAGACGTCTCCTTTCCAATTAGGCAATTCCGAAGGCTTTTCTTTTATTGATATCAGATCATCTCTGTTTCAACGCCTGGTTTTCCAAAAAGCAACACGTCAAACATAATGCCATTTCTATCCCACCAGATACAAAACATCGCATTCTTCGGATGAAAACCTACTTCTGAAGTAGTTAACGGCAGTTGACTCCGCTTTTCCCAGGTCCTTTTTCGTTCCACCTAGTTGTAAACAACATTTTTTCATCGCCAGTGATCGATATTTTTGTTGCGTTTGAGTAGAGAATCGCAGATTAAAATGCGATTCCTTAGATTTTTCCCCGTAAAATTGTGAGGGACTTAAACATTCTAACGATTCACGTATACAAGTGTTTTCAAATGCTGTAAAACACTCGTAATAGATATGAGGAGCGAAGTACCGTGTCGTGTGCACTGGATTACTTTTCATCACTGTTTAAATCATCAATAACTGTAGTCCTGGCAGAACGTTCTTGGTTTTTCCAATCAATAATTTCCACTTCTGACTCTCACGAACAACTTACGAACAGTACCCTCAGCTATGGTACCATCTCCACAAATGTCGCATATCATTTTTACTGTTTCTACAGCTTTTTGTTTTTCAGATATAAAACGTCAAAAGACAAAAATGCGTTTGATTTTCCTCCTTCCTTGTCACTTATAAGCTAAAAAAATATAATTCAGAATCCAAACCTGAATCGTATAGAAAGATGAGTTGAAATATTACCTTTTAAAATATGTATATATGTCACGTTCATATAACATCAAACAGTAACCCTTGATAATCCTGGGTATGACGATAAACTATATCCAGCAGCAAGGCATCTGATCGGGAGATTGGAAGTTTTGAGGAGCGTGGAACCAGCTCTTAATTGCTGCTGTTCCCAGGTCCACTCTGACCCGAGGTGGCAGCACCTATCAGGGGGGTCCTAGCTAGTCCGAGTCCTATGGGTAAATAGTAAACTAAAAAATAAAAACAAAGCCTATCAAATTATAAAAATACATTTTTATAGTAAAAATACCAGCAACAATTTTTTTTTAAATTACCAACAAAACTTATTTATAGTAAAACTACCAAAAATACTTATTTATAGTAAAATTACCAACAATATTTATTTATAGTAAAATTTACAACATTACATTTTCTAGCAGAATGACCAACAATACATTTTATCTGTAGTTGAAGGTATAAAATTGTGTTTAAAATATTTAGATTTCAGCATTAAATAACTCATAGAGGTTAATATGCCGCTAAACAAAATCAACCAACCAACCAACCTCTACCCTGAGTAACTCTTGTGCCTTGCATTGGGTGAACATTAGTAATATATATATATATATATATATATATATATATATATATATATATATATATATATATATATATATTTTTATTTTAGAATGAAATGGAAACTTTCTAATAAGACAATAAAAATATTAAATAAAAAATTAAATATCTGTATTTTTTTTTCATAGCTTTTGTTTTGTCAGGATATATTTAAATTTGGACGATCTACCCACTCATTCCATGTACAAACGCATACACACACGCGCGCGCGCATATATATATATATATATATATATATATATATATATATAGATAGATAGATAGATAGATAGATAGATAGATATAAACAAACAATCCCCACACGCTCACGCATATCGACCGATTGAATGATTTTTATACGACATATCAACCTTTTAAAGTTATTTAAAGCTGAAGCATATTTTTGGATTGAATAATTTTTTTTTTTTTTTTTGAAATAACGATGATTTTCCTACTATTTAACCCATAGCTGGGAGGAGAAGAGGTGGATTCATGCCTTCACGTGTGAAACGAGATTACCTGTTCAAACGCCACCTATAGAAAAGCGCTACAAACTTTTGTTTCGACCCATTACTTTGGCCCTATAAATATTTCTTTCACACTTTCAGAATAAATTCCTACACAAGACATATCTTATGAGTTAAAGAGGTTACCGATAGCGAAAATTCAATTTAAAAATAAAAAAAAAGTCATAAAAAAGAACTATTTTGGTAGAAAGACAATAAGTAAAAAAAAAAAAAAAAAAAAAAAACGTTTGACGTATAACATTTCCTTGGTAATTTTCCATAACTTTCGCGTACTAAGTTCGACGAATCCCCAAATATATAAGCATTTTTCGGATGGGAAGAAATGTGTCCCCATTACATCACTCAAAAACAAAGCCTGCTCATCTTACAACTTCCCCATCCAAACAGAATCATCTTGCATCAACCATAAGCGTATTTTTGGCACTGGTTCTATAATATCAGCTGTATAAAAAGAGTTGTCTGCTGGTCTGTAGTTAGATTGACGATCAAACGCACGTGGTTGTCTTCTTGACGCCAGCACAGATTAAATCCATTCAGAGATAAGTAAACGGGTAATATATAAGCTAGTATGTTTATGTAGACATACTTTTAATTGTTTTCTTAGATAAATCCTCACCTTTTTGTAAACCTGGACAGTGAAGTGGATCACTTGAAAATAAAAAGGTAGGCAAATTTATTATTTTTTCTTTTTGCTTAAGAACATGTGCGTGGGTGTATGTCGATGTGTTAAGTTTATCTGCTTCGCCGGTTGCTACCGAGATGGGTGACCGCTCACAAATACCAGTTCTTGTAAGCTATGTTGTGCGGGTGGTGTAATGGTGTTCAGATAGCCGAGATGGAATTCTGTTTGTGTTCGTTATATTCACTTACGTGCAAATACGCTTAGGAACGGTATGAATCCACCGCTTCTCGTCCCAGCTATGTTAATTAAATAGTAGGAAAATCATTATTATCTCAAAAAGTTCTTACAAGAACATGTCTTCTCCCTAGATCTGTTAAACTTCTACCATGAGTATATTCTAAAAGAGCAGCATGCAGAATTTATTCTAGTGGGGCGCAAAGTAACGCAAAGTTCTATGCTAACAGTCTCTTCTCTCGCACTTCTCACTTGTGGGACTATCTTCCAGCTTCTTGCTTTCCAGTCAATTTTGATCTTCAAAAATTTAAATGCAATGTCAATCGTTATATTAATTCCTGTTCTTTTATTGTTCTCTCTCTTTAATAAAGTTTTTTTGTTTCTCATATTCTTTCGCACCTGGTAAACCCCATGCATCTTAGTGACTTTATTGCCTTTCTTCGGATTAAATACTTTAAAAAAAAAAAGCAAAAACAAAATCTCTTGAAGACTTCCAATAGATGAATCAATTAAAACGTGTAGCACATGTAACTAGAAGGGAAAACGGAAAAGAAGGATATAATCAAGATGTCGGTTCCCACATTACCAAAAACAAAAGGTTTGGAAGGAAACTCCCATCAACACGAGAGAGAGCGATAATAGTTCGTGGATTTGAAAAGGATAATTTAATGAAAAAAATCTGTTTTACGAGAAATATTTTCATTTGAAAGTATTCGATCAATCAATGTCGATTTTTTTCTTGTATGGTGACGGCTATCTTCAACATTACCATTGCTGTTTACATTCGGACTAATATCCTCATCATTCACTGTGTAATTAGTCTTAGCTTAATTTCTCGAAGTGGAATAATATGGAGTTCTTTTGATTTGTAAATTCTTTGTTGCTTTGTTTTCATTGGTTGCGTAGATTGGTGTTGATTTTATAGGCGTATAAATTGTGTATATTTAGGCAGCATATCTTCATTCAAACAAGTTTGGTTAAATAATTTAGACATGTCGATTAGTTTTCGCTGTGATCATTTCAAATTCGCGGATTAATTTCTTGCTAGACTTAGCAAATTGAATGAGAAAAATACCAAAATTTATAGGCGTATGTATGTGCATGTGTATATAACAATTTTGGGCGTAGACGTCCCGCGTATATCTCGAATGTTTCCTGTATGTAAGCGAATAATCCTGAAGAACTTTGCATTATGGACGATTGAACTAAAAAAACTGAAGAAAAAATACCTAATTGTGTAGACAGTTACAACTGTCATAACTAAAATGAACTGATCAATGTTTTATCGGGTGTTTACAGATAGCGTAATAAATATGGTCTTGTTTTCATTGAAATAAAAACAAATAATGCACAGGTATGCAAACAAGATAATGTCTGGACTCCCGTGGAAATGGACATTGGTTGAGAGTGGCGGCAAATTGATTATTTCCCCGCCCCCAGACCAACATGTTATTTGCAATTATCCATAATTTATCGTTAAAGGATAACGGGAACGCACAATTGTTTTACGTTGGTTTGTTGATTTTGTTTAGTGCCATATCAACACCTCTATGGGTTATTTTATGCCGAAATCTAAATATCTAATGCAACACAATTACATGCTTTCAATACAGATAAAATGTATTGCTGGTCATTTTGCTATAATTATGTATTGGCAGTCATTTTACTCAAAATATGTATTGCTGGTAATTTTACTATAAAAATGTATTTTAATATTTTCATAGTGTTTTATCTAGTGGGGATCACTATTTTTCGATAGTTGGGACCCTAACAGTTGCTACCACCCCGGGTTAAGATGTACCTGGGTACAACAGTAATTAAGAGGTGGTTCGACGTTCCTTAAAATATCCAATCTCTATATCAGTGGTCATACTACCGGATGTAGTTTATTATCATACCCAGGACTAAATTGTTTTGGGTAACACGAAATTTATGTCCCTATATAAAAAAAGGCTATCATTATTCGCTATATTCATATAGCAGTGTTTCCAATAATATATCATTTGTCTACAGACCTGAGTAAAGCGACAACAGGTATATATATATATATATATATATATATATATATATATATATATATATATATATATATATAAATGAATGAATGAATCATTGTCAATTTGTCATTATTTCACAAATCATTCAGGTGTATAAAGCTTTT